TCCGCCGTTAACGGCATCGGAGAGGAGGTGCCCGCCGTGGACGACACCGGGGCGGTGGTGCCCGCCGTGAACGGCATCGGAGAGGTGGTGCTCGCCGATAGTATGTGGTTTTGGTTCTTTAGTATGTTTCACTCGAGAAGACGAGATGGTGAAGTAGGGTGACAAAAAAGTTAGTGGTATGTGCAGTGATAGGGACCGATTAAAGCTTCTTTATTGTAAAGCTATGAAAGTTCAGTTCATTTACTGCTGTCATATTGTGAGGACTACCCAGCAAGATTTGTGACTCAATGAGCTATCACGGTTATTCTTTGCTTTTATATTATTCGCAAGAAAACTTATCCAACCGCTGATAATCTAGGAGTCTCTACTAATGATATATCCTTAGAGAAAAACTTCCATCGATAATACCCACCTATTCTGCAGTCTGCTTTTCCTTGTCATAAAAAGAGTCACTAACCTTTTTTCAGAAGACTTTGCTCATAAAGATGGGTGTTCTCCCCGAATTCTCACGGCGAGTGGTCAAGGTCACGGGGCGGCGGCCCTATCCTTCCACTGGAAATTCAAACCTTTCCCTTCAAGGCGCGCGACTACGCGCGATCGGGTGCGGCGAACGCGACGCCGTTTTCGGGTAGGAGATACCGGACCCTAGAAATGGAGAGCACATGCAATTGTTAATAGCAAGAGAATGACCTCTTTTTGCTCTCTCGCGGAGTAAAGTTCTTTGAGCCAATCACTATAGTCTTCTATAGCATCGTTTTTTACTTCATGACCGCAGCACTGTGTATCCATATCTATCAATTGATTAAATATAATCAGTCGGGCCGCCCGGCTGACGTCGGGCTTTCCTCCTTGTGCGAAAGTCGGAATGCTCGATTAGAGTTTTGCGCCCGCCAATTCCGTACAGTTACTTCAACGCGAATGATCACAACATTTACTTTTGAAATGGACTCATGTGGCACTACTTCTCGAACCCCGTCAGAGTGTATATATAACAATTCTGGAAAGCACTGTCTCATCGCTAGCCAGTCGCTTCGCCCGCCAGGCTCTCCTCCTTCTTCGACAAAGTTGTAGC